CTGACCTCCCAATGCTACGGGCTACAACTAAGAGGTCTGTAGAAGTGTCTGTTGGTTTTGCAAAGTTTGAGTCCCTTCGGGAGATTACTCTCACTATTTACTCTGTTGCAATCAGGCTGTGTATTTGCCCCACTGTTCCTAGTCCCACCAGCTGGGCAAAGCAACCCCACCAGCTCAGTTTATGGATATACTGATGGGTTTGGGGGGCTGGAATGTTTTAGGATGGCATCGGTCTGTTTGGGAGGGTCTCTCCTTGAGTCCGTGAGTTCAGTCCTGAAGCAGGCCGAAAGGAGACTGTAGAGAAGGAACCAGAGAAAAGAAAAAGGTGAATGTACAGGACCCTTCACCAGCCACCACGAGAGAAACAGTCACTTTCCACCTTCATGATCACAGTATGGGCTTTGAAGGAGGGGAAAAGCAGATGTCTTAGCACCTACAGTGAAGGTATGAGACAGGGAGATTTAGAAAGTCGGAAAACCCCAGGTACAAATGAATGCTTGGCAAGGAAGAGAAAACAACTAGTTGATAGGGAAATCCGATTTCTGCGTCCCAGTCTCATGGGTGCAAATAGTGCTCCCATACTGTTCCCAGTGACAAATACAAGAGGAAAAAAGCACTCAGTCAAAGGGGAAAAGGAGAGAAGCAGCCTCCATTGAGCCCACCTCAAACTTCAATTACTTAAAAAACAAAAGCTGGTGCTAGGGAGAGAGGATGGTGTCTACTGTGAAAGGGTCATATTGATTACATCTCAACAAAGCTGGGGGACTCTCTGCGCTAAAGCCAACAGGTCTCTGGGGCCACCAGCTGATGTGGAAGGCACTGCACTCTTGGAGTCAGCAAAGCAACGCAGCACTTCTTCATATACCTAATCCTACACTTTTGCTTGCTTACTTTCATCTTGGCAATTCTCTAGTGAGAACACTATCCAAGTGCCTGGAGTTCACAACACATGCAAGCACAGCACTACAAAACCAAACCAAACCATGCAAAAATCCACTATTAGCTTCCACACCAAAAATGCACAGCTGGAGCACTCCAGGCACTGGATAGCTCGACTTTGTCATACCTCACTTGCAAGGCTAATTCCCTCTCATCTGGATAATGAGCTGTGCTGCTCACTAGACTGAAAGGCAGCCAGTGGGCTGGTAGCTGCAACCCTGCTGATATGAGAGAAACATTTGCTGGGATATAAGAGCCTGCTGGGACATAAGAGCCCTCTTCCTGGTAGCCGCTGGAAGACTTTGTGAAATCCCTTCAATCATGCTATGGCCAATTCAGATAGAGACTGTTCTGAAAACAGCACTCAGCAGGGTGAAACTCACCATGGGAAATTTTGTTGATGTTTTCCAATGAAGCCCTTAAAGACTGTGCAGATACTCCCTGGGAATATTGATGGTAAATGTATTTCACAGTAGAGTATTGAAGAAACTTTCCCTCCCCAACAAGGCACAGGCCCCCTCTGGTATCTCTGGCAGCAGGGATCTTCTGGCAAATCCATGTATTAAACAACGGTGGCAGACCATGAAAAGGAAGTCTTCTAAATAAACATGCTGTTCAAATATGGGCCCCAGGATTTGGCAGTGAAAAAGGAAGAACAGAAACTGCAGCTGAAAAAAACTTCCCACCTATGATCATGAAGGTATTTGGCATAACAGTAAATAAGAGAAAACCATGCACAAAGGAGCAGAGAGAGGAGATGAGACAGAGAAAGATTGTGGTCTGGTGCAGTGTGGAGCATTGTAGTATTTTTTGTTATCTTGTGGGACACAAAGCTTTCTGCTTGTCACCAGATTTGTCCTTTTTATTCCAGAACAGTAAGACAGTTGCATCTGCTGGCCTGCCAAATGCCATGCTGGTCTGTATGTGCACGAGAGCAATTATACAATTGTCTTCCAAAATGACAAATTTATTTTTTTAAAGCTATCTTTCACCATAATAATCTCATCCTTGCTTTTCCTATTCTTCAAAAATGATGAAGCTTTCCGTGTTGTAGTAATTAAAGGGAAACTTCTTCCCACACACCTAGACAGCTTTTCTATGTTAACCATTGCTCAGAAAAGTAAACTGAAAAAATCAAACAATTCCTCCATCAAGGCTTGACTGCGGAGCACACGTGGATGCAGCTCCATTTTGAGAATAAAGAGCCAAAGGCAACTCACAAACATCCTGGCCACACAGAGACCTGCTAGGACCTACAGCTTCCTACACATTCGAACCTGGTCACTGCATGTGCACTTTCCTAGCTCCCAGTTTTAACACAGACTTTGAACGAAAGCAAGCTGAGACTGAGTTTTGAAAGTACATCCCTACCTATAAAGCAAAAGGCATTTTCTTTGCCTTTGGCTTTAAACTAAAGGGGGGTAGATTTAGACTAGATATAAGGAAGAAATTTTTTACGCTGAGGGTGGTGAAACACTGGCCCAGGTTGCCCAGAGAGGTGGTGGATGCCCCGTCCCTGGAAACATTCAAGGTCAGGTTGGACGGGGCCCTGAGCAACCTGATCTAGTTGAAGGTGTCCCTGCCTTGCAGGGGCGTTGGACTAGATGACCTTTAGAGGTCCCTTCCAACCCCAACTATTCTATGATTCTTTTAAAGCCAGAACAGACCCACAAAGGAGTCACTGTGCTGCTGAGTTTGGCCAGCCTGGCAAGGAAGCAGTGGCAGGACATCTCCCAGCAGCATGCAGTTCACTGAACCTGCTCGCATGCAAGGTTGCTCTTACCCAAACCAGTTCCTACAAAGTGTCTTCTCTCCCCATTCTCACATCGAGACCTGAAGCTCCTTTACGATTCTTTTTTGGGGTGCAATTGCATCTATGAGTCTTTTCAGCCTAAATGCCCCTTAGGCCTGAACACATTCCTTCAGAAATTAAGTCATACCCTGAATTATTGAGGAAAAAGCACTAGAACCCAACCGCACCTAAGAAGCTATTGCTTGAACATGCATTTCAGCACAGGGGACCCTGCCTGATGGCAGGCTGTCAGCAGAGACAACTGCAGCAGCTCTGGACAAACACTGAAAGTTATTTTTCTCCCTACTCCTGGCATCCTTAGAAGCTCTTAATCTTTCTCCCCAGTATCTGAGCACACTCAGCAGCTGAGAAAAATGAGTATATAATTGGACAAGTGCCAGGAGACATGCTAAAAGAAGTTTCATTAAATTAAATGGCTGGACACATACGCGCTGGTCTTAAAGGTAACACAAATACCAACCTCAGTTGCCAGGAACCCATCCTATTGATATAGGAAGAATGAAAACAGTAATTATGGCAAAGCAACTGTCAGCACCAAGTGAAAGCTGTCATCTGCTGCCGTCCATTTCTGCTTAGAAAACCATTTCTCAGCTGAAATGGCTGTAGTTCAGGTGGAGCTTTGAAGACATGCAGCTGAGCGCACAAAGACCGCCGTGCCTAGCAGCTAGTAAATACAAGCTATAGTATATAGAAACAGTGCAGATGACTGATAAAATTCTCATTATTATTATTATTAAAGTACCTCAAAAAAAAAAAGTCCAGAGCCCCTGGATGCTCCAGCCATTTTGGCAGAAGGCTTTTTTCCCCCCTCCACAAGCCTCCAGCTGACACTAAAACCACACAGGTCGAAATGTGAACACATGCAGAGATCTGGCAGAAAGCCGTGGTATTGCAGAAGTCCTGAGACAAGGCCAAGGCACTGAAATAAATCCCTACAGGCTCAAGTGGGACTTACGTGGTGCCTTGGCCTCGTGCTAACCTCTGCAGAGGAATGAGTTGTACCCACAGCCTCTTGACGCGTGAGCTTACCAGCAGGAACGCATGAGATCCTAAGCACTACCGCTGGTGGCTACCTACAGCCCGAGCGGCTATTTTCTGTCACCCAATACAGCAGGTGAAGCAATGGCCATGAATGACACTGCTTACGGTCTGTCTGGGAAGTCATTCTCTGACCCAGTCTCTGTAACTGCAAAGCTTTGGGAACGGAGGGGAAAATGGAAACCAAACGCTTATTTGGCCCTTCTTCTCCCCATCCTCCTGCCACTTACACCGCCCAAAGTAATCCTGGCGCAGCCCTGCCAGCCAAGTTCAGACAGGGACTATGTCTGCCTGGATGGAAAGTTTCTCATGCGCAATGTGGAGAGTCAGTGACAAAGTATAGTTTTTAAAAACACTTTAAAAGTGCACGCGTAGAGTCTTTCTTTGAAGTGCCCACTGGTCACAAAGCAGTTCTTACATGCTTCATCCTTGCTTCCAGACTTTCAGCTTCCCTTTTTATAGCTGAGGAACCTATAGTATTTATACCCCACTGAGACATCAGCCCTCCAACAGCACCAGAAATGCACAGCAGTGGGGTCTGAGTGCTCGGCCGAGCCAGTGCTCACAGTCCTGGCTTCACATGCTCTTGGCAAGATATATGCTCAGGTGGACACCCTCGAGAAGGCGTGGAGAGGGCTCCACGTTCGCTGCTGTTCCCACAGAGCAGATGAGAGAAGAGCACTCCCACCCTGCGCTCCCCAGCTCGGACACACATGTGCACTGGGTTTCTGTCTGCAGGCTGTTCAACAGCACTTGCTGTGCCTTGGGCTCCGGCTGGAAGTCAGGAACAAGGCGCTGAGCCTGTCCTCATTCACCCTCCAAGGCCAAAAGGTGAATTGTGTGGGACAAGAGACTAGAGAGGGACCTTGCAAGCAGTCAGGATGTGCGCTTGGGGAAGGAGGACTGCTTCATCCCACTGTGCAGGTCGTGAAATCTGAATCTCAGACTCATGATCTCTCAAGCTCTGGTCCAGAAGCTCGGTTTTGGCCAAATTCCTGGCATCAATTTCTACCAGCTCTGACCAGGGGGTTAACAAGCAGCAATGTTGTTGGAAAGGATTTTGCCAACGCAGTACTCTCTGAGCGCTTGGCCCTCGGTTGGGTACCACATCCCTATGAACAACTGTGCAGAAGCCTTCTGTGTCTCTCTCCTCTCTCCCCCTTCACACCATCCTCACTGCACAGGTCACTGCAAGCACACTCATACTCACTGCTTCTGGAGCAAGTGCTGGTGCTGCTGCTGCTGCTGCTGCCGGTAGGTCTCAATCGTGTGCTGGGGAAGGTACTGCATCAGTTCCAGGGACTCTTTGATCTTTAGTAGCATTTCATACGTCTCCCGTCCCCTCACCTGCATCATGGGAAAAAGAAAAGAGGGAAAAGAAAAGCCTTAACCTTCTGCATCTATAGTGACAGCCACCTTAGCGAGTTTTAGATAAAGTCACGTAAACAACCAGAGCAGAATGCAAATAGTCTGTTTACACTCTATGCATATGCAATAAAACCGCTAAGCCTTGTGCTAGAGGTACAGCAGATAATGTTGAAGAGCAATAGTCTAACACTGCAGGCTAATGAACATCTTGGGGTTGTCATCTGACTCGATGTAAATCTGTGCCAACCAAAAGCAATATTCTGATCCAATCTGTTAGACATAAAATGTCTTTACCTGCCTCAGATGTAAGCAAATCTGGTGCTGAATCTTACATGCCTTGAGGGAAAAAAAAGAGTACTTGAATTTGGGTGTTGGGTTTGGATCTCCCTTCTCCTCTAAGCACACCGTGGTCTGCGATTTATCCAACTAAATGTGGCTCATGGGGAAGCAGCTAAACAGCCAATTACAGATACTTCTTGCTCTTTCTGATCCTACACTTAATACAGTGTATTTCACTTCTCTCACTCCACAACAATTCTAATACATACAAAAACCAAAGAAACATCCACCTTTGTCAGCAAGACAACACCCATTAGCTCTAGAGAAAGCTCAAGTGCCACAGAGCCAGAAATGACAAACGAGGAAACCCAGTTAGGTCTCCAAAACAATATTTCCACCAGGACAGACAGATTACTTGGGATATTCTCATATGCCTTGCACAAAGCACTCCCAGTCAGCAGCTAATGGGATTTTTTTTTTTTTTTTCCTTGGAATATGGTTTTAAAATAGATAGCTCTGGGGATTTAAAAAAAAAAAAAAAAGATATTCCACATCCCATCCTCAGTTCTCTTTGAGGTCTAGGTGAGCAGCTGACTTGCCTCAAGGCACTGAGGAAGATACTAAACACAGGATAAATGCAAAGATAGAGAGAACTCACCGGCAAGTATAAGAGCTCATCATCTGGGGAACGTCTTTTTTTGATAGATGTCATCTGTATGCCATGAGTTCCTTGTCGAAAAGCTGGAAGAGAAACCCCACAAGCATCCCATTAAAAAAAAAAAAAAAAAAAAAGGAAGGGGTGGGGAGGGGGGAGAGAGAGATACAAAGGAGAGACATGAAGTGCATGGCCAGCTCGAATCCACAGTGCTCTGACAGCGTCTCTGCCTGAGCCACTCCAGAACTGTGCTTGCAGCTCCTGGCTCCATAAGACAGACACGACTTTGCAGATGTTGGGTGGCCATACGGCTTGGGGAAACACGTCAGCCAAGGAGCTGTGGGTATATGGCAAAACCCCAGCAAGCCATACCTAGAACAAGCACTGGCTCTTTGCAGGAAAGACTGTGAGCTTTGGCATTACAGTGCTCATGAGCTGTCAGTGGATCAGTGATCCACGAAGATGAGACAGCAGGCAGGGAGCACGCAGAATTCACTGTGAAAACAAAGCCCCACTCCAATCTGCCTCCTGTCAAAACCTGCTGCCTTGCTGTTCAGCCTAGTGCCATCACTGAACATATGCGGAAAACCAAAGCTGGGTTTCCACATCTTGCATGTCTGATGAGTACGTTGCAATCTTCAGAGTACAGAGAGAGGCCGCTTGCCAGAGCACCTCTGATGCACAGTGATACACAGCAGGGTTTACGTGCAGTCTTAATCTAGATCGCTGTGGCTGGAAGACACATGCCACAGCATGTGCTCTCCTCCTGGCTAGGACGAGCAGAGAATGACAGCACAGTCCCAAACAAGCAGTAAAGGTTCAAAAAGTGGTTACGGAGTCCCAACGATGTACCTTGAGGGTGGCAAATAAACACCCCCTCCAGCCACTGCTGGCAGGGCTAATCTAACACAGGCAGCGCTGCAAGGGAGCCCACAAACCCAGATTGTCAAATGCCGTTTTGCGAACACCAGCTCATTTTTCAGGCTGATTCACCTTGGGAGAACAGACGACTAATGCCCTCCTGCCTCCAAGCTCATGCACAGCACCGCTCCGTCCCTGCGGCACAAGCGCCAGGGTCGCACCTGCAGCCGGTGACAGCACGGTCTGCAATCTGCCCAGCTCTGCCAGCTACTTACGGCGTTTCGTACCATCACCATTCTTTGTGCTGTCGGAGACTTGCTGCTTGCGGATGCTGTCCTCGTCTGCTTTGCGATCTCTGCCTGGGCAAGCGCAAATGCGGGCTTCGAAACATCGGCGGCCCAAGACTTGCCCACTGGGAAGAGAAGCGAAAGAGGAAACGTCAGCTGCTGGCTCAGATGGGAGCCAGCAGCATCCCTCAGCTTCGCACTAGACTATGCACAGAGAAACCCAAACCTCCCATTTCCCAGTCAGGATGTCCCAGGTGCCAAGTGTTGGGCAACTCCCACCTGCAAAGATGTGAAAATATCCTATGGCCCCTGGCATCAAACTCTCCCTAAGGATATGCAATGCTGCTCCGAGCAGAAGAGGAGCCAGAAGGCCACCTCTCAAGCAAAGGGCTACACTCATGGTGCACTACTTACTCTCTGGTTTCCAGTGTCACAATGATGAGGATCGGGCGACGGTTCATCCCTCCCACGCAGCTACTGTTACACATGAAGTTGTACAAGACTGTTGTGAACTCCGTACCAACCTGGATGAGACAAAGGGGATGTGCAGAATAGATGGCGGATGGAAAGCTCTGCTTTTTCCAGGCTCTCCACTTGTACTCCCACAGCTGTGCTACAATCAGACTAGCATGAAATAGGCCCCACCACAAGGCTTCTTTAAAAGAAATGAAGAGCTCCTGCTCTCAAGGGATAAAGGGAGTGTTTAAAAGCTCATTTCTGACAAAGAGGAAGAAGGGATTCATTGTGATAAGGATGGGGAAAGCACAAGATCCCGACTCCTTTGACTAGGGTTACAACCCCCACACCTTTGTGTGCTGGGGTGCCACCACCCTGAGCCCACAACATACCTGGGGCGGCTCGTAGGGGACCAGCACACTCTGCCTCCCGGTGATGGGGTCTTCTACATACTGGGCATGGCTGTTCCCTTCCACCCTGATCAAGTGGCTGGGAGGCGCAATCTGCCCTGCAAGGGCAAGGAGGCAAAAAACAAGAGACACCATTCAGCAAAACAAGCTCACGTGCAGGGCAGCAAGATCTTCCACCAAGGGAAACCCCTGCACCTGGCCCCAGAGGTCTATCAGAGCACACACGTGCCTCCCAGCCCTTAAAGCATCCCTTCTGCCCACTGACAGACACGAAAAGCAATGCAGACTTTTCTCAAGTTCACCCTGGACACTCGTGAGTAAACTTGGGAAGCCCGTGTTCAAGATCCCAGACTAAGCGAGCCCAAACATCAACTGAATGGCAGCTCACAGCAACTCTTCGAGCAGGTAACTCCATGTGGATTTTCACACCGGCTGAAAGCCTTTCTTTTCCTCCCCCTAACGTGTATACAAAGCAAATTCCTTCAAGTCTCAATCCCTACTCTTTTCCCCATCAACTGCTAGCTTTCTTCTGTTCCCTCCCATCAGTCTTGATACTAAGGAGCCGAAAAAGAATCAAGCAGCAGGAGAAATATGCATTTAATTAACGGTCAGCTTGAAAAATCACGCTTGTTTAGAGCGGCAGCAGAAGGGAACATGGTTGTCTTTGTTTCTAGGCCCCTTTCCAATAATTAAAAAAAAAAAAAAAATAGTTTCCTTCCTGCAAACTTTCTTCAGTGTTTCTACAACATACAACTAAATTCTGAGGAGAGAAGCCTGTTATGGGTTCATCCGAAGAATTTGTTTTGTGTTTGAACTGTTCATTTCTTACTCGAAATACAGCATGTTTCTAGAGAAATAATTATTTCAGAACAATAATTTCAAGTTTTAGGTTTTTTTTCTTTCTTAAAACTCCACCACTGAACCAGGTATCAACCCTCAAAAAATCCAGTACTGTCAGAAAAGCACTTTCTAATGTGAAAAACCATTTGAAAAGAACTGCCTCACTCCACTCTGATTTTACACTCCAAAGTCCTTGCTTATTTTTGGGCTTGTCTAGCTGGCTGCATTATAACCAGCAAAGGGAGCAGGATGTCTCAGGAGCCTGGATAACTGACACCAACTGGTTTTTTTTTACAGTAGGAGATAAATAATGCACGTAGAATAAAACAGATGCTCATCTGAACTTATGTGAACTTAAAGAGTCCAAGGCAAAATGAAGCCCAGCCCATGAGTTTGCAGAAAACCCCAGGACATTTTTAAAACAGCTGCTACTTCACTAACATGAGGAGAAGCAAGTAAAAGATTAAAACATTAATACTGAACCCATAGTGTTAAATGTACAGGAAGGTTGCCTACAGTTGATGCCTACAGTAACGCATTTAGCATTATCCTGCTAGAGATAAACAGCCCCTCCGTCTTTGAGGCGTGGATTAAGGACTGGAGATGATATTGCATCCTGTTACTAGATCCCTGTCCCAGTGACATGGAAGCTCATTCCTGAGCACAAGAACAGCTGCTTCTCATTGTGGGAGCAAAAGCGGAGCGGGGAAAGGCTGCCAGAAGGGCACTGCCTGCGATGGGGACAGACATCCATCCAACCTGGGCAGGCGTGAGGTTTATTTTGGTACTTTCTTCCCAAGGACATGCTTGCACAGGGGCAGCTAAAGTATAGTATGAAGCTTCCTGCTAAGCACGGGAAATAAAAAGCTGCACAAGACGCTGCAGGGAGGTCTGCTTCCAGCGGGTTTGCTGTGAAGCTGCTGCCAAATCCCTGCACCGGCCACTCGTCAGCCAAGCAGCTTTGGAGAGGGACTGCCAGCAAAGCACTGCCCTCCTTACCCTCGTTGAACTCCCGGCTCAGCTCGTGGTTCGGGCAGCGTTTGACCACTTCGGTGACATGCTCAGCTTTCTTGTAGACTGGCATAGCCCTGATGACGGCTCCCTGGGGCGGCGGGGTCATCACTTTGATCTGGATGGGACATGTCTTGGCGATCTGGCAGTACAGCTTTTTCAGTTCAGTGGAATACTGGATGGGGAAAAGAGCAAGAGAGAGTCAGGACGTTCAGCTAGAGGTGGAGGCACGCCGGAAGGATGGAGATGGGTTTGCACACATAGCTGAATGCACCAGCTACTGCATGTGCATTGCATTTGTTCACAGAACAGCCACACTTCCAGACAAGTGGCAAAAACCCTAGACCTTTACTTGTTTTAGAATAGCAGAGTATAACTGTGCAGCTTAGTTTTCCCAAAGGCAAAAACCTTCAGATAAAGAGCACTACTTTTACATGAACAAATACAGTCTTTATTTCTCTTGGGCACATACCCCCTCTTCCAAGGGACACACATTACCCACCTAACAAAGCGGACACTATTCTTTTCACAATACACTGTAATCCTGGAAGCATTGGAAACCACACATAAAGTGTTTCATCCTGTTTTGTAAGAAGCCCTTCTACTTTTGCAGAGGGGCGAAATAAAAACATGAACCTTGGAATTGAACAGTACTTGAAAGCAAGACCCTGACCAATTTGGGAGTGTACCAAATCTGATGTTTCAGTCATCTTTCAAAAGCATCTCACACCTCTTGCTGACCACCTCTATAGCAATCTCCACACTTCTAAACTCAAAACATTATGTCCACGAAAGAGGTAAAAAATAAAGTAGTGAAGAATTTTTTTTTTTTTTTTTTTTTTTTTTTTTTTTTTTTTTTTTTTTTTTTTTTTTTTTTTTTTTTTTTTTTTTTTTTTTTTTTTTTTTTTTTTTTTTTTTTTTTTTTTTTTTTTTTTTTTTTTTTTTTTTTTTTTTTTTTTTTTTTTTTTTTTTTTTTTTTTTTTTTTTTTTTTTTTTTTTTTTTTTTTTTTTTTTTTTTTTTTTTTTTTTTTTTTTTTTTTTTTTTTTTTTTTTTTTTTTTTTTTTTTTTTTTTTTTTTTTTTTTTTTTTTTTTTTAAATAATCAAAGCTCAGAAGAGTTGAACAGCCCAAAGACCAGGTCCGTCGTGGGACCTAGAGCACAACCCAGCACCTGGCTCCCAAAGGGAGGTTGTGACCATCCCAGGGTGTGCAATGAACACCTGGAGCAAGAACAAGATGCTCTTATTCACTGTGCTGATTTGGAGCATATTAGATTGTCTCTTTTAAGATGTTCCCCACTAAAGCAGTTAACACTGGTGCAGCATTTTCCTGAAGTGTGTTCACATCTGGAAACCTTTACTCAGCAAAACATTGAGGCATGGGCTGAAGTCGTTGGTTCCTGTTCAAAAACCCTCACTGAAATAAGGGCATGTGCTTAGCAGGAATAGTTTGCAAGGAAACTCTTATGTGGTTCAGTATAATGTAACCTGAACCCAGTTTTCTGGATGTCCCCCATGAAGGAGACTCTCCAGTCTCCTCTGCTGTACAAAGTTCTTTCAAAATACAGCACTTTTCATCAGTACCCTACTCCAGAGGCATTCAGTTTTCTCCCGGTGCTCAGACATTTGCGAGCGCAGAGCTCTCCCAGTAACTCTAACCACGTAACCCACAGGAATCGCTGGCATTTCCCCACTTCCATCTCTTCAGTTCTCGCAGAGAAAGAAAAGTGAAAGCCCGAAGGTGGCTGTTTTCTCAAAAAACACCTCTAGTAGCCGTGGCCAATATGGCCCCAGTCCCAACTGTTTAGAGCATCGACAGGTTCATACAGGTCGAGAGCACAACGTGGCCATCCGCCCTGCCAGGATGGGAAGAGCCGGCGCATGCATGGGTGGGTGGCGGGTAACGTGGCAACAGAAGGATTAGCTAGTGATATTCGGGGATTATTTGCATTTCAAAGTGTACACATGGCTAACATCGGAAAAACCAAAGTTGGGAGAGACACTGGGGAGGAGAGAGGGACTGAAAATAAGCCAAGCCGGTCCCTTCCCTCCTCACTCAACGCCACCCTGCCATATGGCAGAGGAGATGCTACAGGTATTTCAGCTAAGGAAAAAAATTCTTTAAAATGCAAAGGCCAAATTGTGTAATGTATTTTATGTGCCTGCAGGCTAGAGATTAAACCCACAAAGGATTTACCCAGCCCGCGGAAACGGGGAACATGCCAAACAATTACAAAAAAAAGTTGCGAAACAGATCTAGATGGTGATTTATATCATACATCTTTTTAACCTGAAATTCCTTATTGTTTTTTAATTAAAAAGCAATTCCTTACTGAAGGTAAGAGTGAGCTCACTATGTTGTCTTTTCATCTCAAGAGGTAGGAAAAGAATCGCTTATATTTGAAAGAGGAAGAAAATTTAGAAAGCATTGTTTCCCTCAACACATCAGTTTGCTAATAGTGTTGTGAAGGTTTCAAGGACAGAAAGCCTCAAAAAAAATCTCAAAAAGCCAACTAATTGCTTGGATGCCTTAACATCATTGAAATGTAAAGACATTGGGCACCCAAAAATGATGGGTTGAAATGAAAGCATAAATATGGAAGTGCGATGGCGCAGGGAGGGCACAGCACACGCCGGGAACCAACGTGTCTCGTATCTGCAGGCATTCGGAGAATTGAACAAATGGAAGGAGATACACACCCCTCAGTCATGGATCAGGAGCGTTGGTGTTGCCTGTAATTTTGTGTATAATATCTTCAAAGATAGAAAGCTGGGGTTACAAGAAGGGAAAAAAATATAATCACTGCTTTCAGAAGGACAGGAGAGGTGCCCGACACCAACACGAATACTGAGGCTCCAGGTCAAACAGCGTGGCCCCTCTGCCAGCAAAGGAAGGGATCTGCTCCTCGTCCACCCTTCGGCACCCCAACTATCAGACCCCTTAGGCTACAGTGAGCAAGGAAGGCATTGGACCTGCAGCTTAAATTCAGAAAGCAAACAGCCAAGGGCTAATGGGTTATGATGAACAAGCCTGTGCAACAAAGAAATATATACATATATATGTGTCCTCAAAACACAGGAGAGGAGCTCCAGGCTCTGACCAACACCTTGAACTTGGCACGTCAGACAAGGAGGGTGACCAGGAGCCCACCTCTGCTTCGGAACATAGTCAGGGCACAGGGAGGCAAGCAGCAGCACCCAGCAGAGGCGGATGAGACAGCAGGAGGGCTGCGCCGCCTTTTTGTCACCCAATTGCAAGAGGAGTTCAAGCCTCACGGGCACTACACAGGGCTTGGGGTCGTGGCATATCACCATGATTTCATCTACCTCAGGCACAGCCAGCTGCAAGCATGCAATCGCTGAGTGGCCGGTCATTTAACACCCGTGTAAATCTGTCCACGGGGTACCTGCTGTCAGACAGTAAGGGGCTTGAGTTTCCCACCCTGCCAACTTTGCTGCAACCGTGGGTAACCTGACGCCCAGCCATCTATTGGCATAAATAGATGCGAACAACTAGGTCATGGTGACTTCATACTGGATCAGTGATAATCGCTATATCCACAGAACAAGACAGGATATTGTATATAGATTTCAAAGCAAATAAGCATCAGAAAAAAGAACCCTGAGGCAGGAGCTGTCTGTGCATTCAGAGAGCGCCTGCAAGCAAGGGTCGTCCCTCTCGGCACAGGTGCCTCTCCCTAGCGGTCCCCAAACTGCCCCACCTCGCAGAAGGCGACAATCCCCCTGCCCACCATTTTGCTATGGGAACTGACAGACACTCACTGTATGAGGGGTAAGACGGTGAGACCAGCAATTCCCAGAAATCTAGAGCATGACTATTAATCAACACACTCCTGTTACTTGCTAGTGTAGGAAAATTAAATTAATTAGGAGTAAAAAATACCAAAAATGAGCTTGACCCAACCAACAAACCTGTCCTTTAGCGAGATGACAGTAGTCATGATCTAGCAGCAGGAACAAAAGCTGCGCCAGCAGCCTGAAGAGCGTGAACACCACTTCTACCAGACATACAGACCAGAAAGTTGTTTAAAACAAAAGAGCGGAGCCTGGTGATGTGTTATCCACTCGAGAGGGAGAGGAAAGAACTTTGGCTCGGACTTTTCTTTGGGGTTTGAGTGCTGCACGTCATGCCCAAATAAGCAGACTTCAAGAGATTGCTAAGAACAACAGTGAATTTAGCTTTTTGCTTAATAATACGTTTTAAAAGGAAAGAAGAAAACATTCCAGCGCCTGCAGCCCTGCCCTCCCCACCTGCCTGTGCAGACATACTGTATTACCCACTCTTGGCACCCTGGCTGGTAATTCAGTATCACAATACACACACGCCAGCTACCATCAGGCAACACCTGTCTGATTTCTCAGCAAGCCCCTTCTCCGGAAGGTGTGTCAACAAAGGGTTTAAAGGAGAAAACAAACCAAAACACTTCTCATCTCTCAAATGGAGAGTTTTTGCTATAAAGGACAGAAGTCTCCTGGAAGTAAGTACTGCGTGCAATACAAGCTGCAATAGATTTTCACTGAGCATTCAATTCCCCTGCTAAAGTCTGATGCAGTGAAATCCCCCAAGCACTACTTTAGAAATCTACCTCTAATACCGGTCTTACCATCTGATCTAGCTGAGGGATTACGGCCCCTAAGTCTTTAAAAGGAGCAGGGTTCAGCCAGCTCTGCGAAAGCTGACGGATGTCAACTTGAAGGTGATCCCAGAGGTTGGCTTATGGCGTGACAGCTCCCTGAGCGCCTTCTGCTCAGATCAACAGGTCTTTCGAATCTTTTGCAAACTTCTTTCAAGAAGTCACGTTTATAGTTCAACTCAGTTAAACACTAGATTCATTTTACTTGATGTTTTCAAAGCCGTCAGTCAGCTGTGCTTTCTCTCCTTCCAAACTAACTCCAAGAAGGGGAAAAAAGAACAGGTTAGAAGAGTGGGAAAGCAACATCTACTTGCACCAAAGAATTTGCAGATGAGAACAAGGAGTCGCAAAGAAATAGAAAATCCCCTGCATAAGGTTTATTCATTTAGGAGAAAGCAGGCAGTGGGAAGAAAGGAAGTTATCTACTGAGAATAAAAATTGAGATTTACGCATGCACCTTAAATGTTTTTGCTTTGATGAACAGTCATTTAACTTTTCATTCACAAAAAACCTGTTGGGGGC